AGCACTGGATTAAAGAGTGCTAATGCAGGAAATAATACACATAATTTTTAGATAAGGATAATAATTTATCTCTGCTCCTAATATTACTATCTCATTGTAATTATTTATAACCCTCAAGCTAGTTGATTTTTAATATATTTGATTGGAAAAGAACTCTCTGGTATTATTAAGATTCCCACAGGATCAGGGACAGGGCCCCCAAAGGAGTTTACTGTAAAATAGGCAGTAGAGATGTGGCATGGGCACAACCCTGCAGTCAAGTGTAACAGCGTTCTATCAGGGTCACTTTGAATTGTGTACATAAGAAAACCAATACAAAAAACAATTTGTATTCAATATTGTCACATTTCTCTCTGGTAGAAAAATCAAATACCTTAGAGATTATGAAGTCATTAAATTGTACTGAAATTGGATTGACTTACTACCTAACATTGAATGCAGTTTTTAAATGAAAAGAATGAGATTTATAACCTCTTGAGTGTTGTTGTAGTGATATTTGAACTCATTTGAATATATTCAATATCATTTAATATCTGAATTAAGAAAAAAGTTGCTGAAATTTTCATTCAGATGGTCTATAAATTGCATATTCATTACTTGTCTGCTCTATTTAGATTTCTTTTAAAAGTTTAAGTAAATATTTTTATAAAACCCAGAAAACGCTATATTACAAAATATTATTTATTAAATGTAATTCATGAAATAATCTATTTTTACTCTTTTTTGGGAAATACTTGTGTTTTTGATACATCTCCATGAAGTGCTTTTGACCTGAGAGGCTATTTTGATGTTTTTATACAAATGATGGTTAACAGGCATAGCGTTTTAGGATACTTTACAGTAGTCCTGGCTGTTTCTCGGAAATGTAGACTTGGAAAATCTATTAGAAAGCAGAACAGGGGCAAACTCTCAATTTTACTTACGGCTTTTTTATTATTTATTTATTTATTTATTTTTTTGAGACAGAGTCTCGCTCTGTTGCCAGGCTGGAGTGCTATAATCTCGGCTCCCTGCAACCTCTGCCTCCCGGGTTCAAGCGATTCTCCTGCCTCAGCCTCCCGAGTACCTGGGACTACAGGCATGTGCCACAACGCCTGGCTAATTTTTGTATTTTTAGTAGAGATGGGGTTTCACCATGTTGGCCAGAATGGTCTCGATCTCTTGACCTCTTGATCCACCCACCTTGGCCTCCCAAAGTGCTGGGATTACAGGTATGAGCCACCGTGCCCAGCCGGCTTATTTTTATTCACAGTAAATCTTCAGCAACTCATTCTGTCCACCAGATGGTATTTTTCTGTAAACTGAAATGCTGACTTCGCCTCTTCCAGCTGTACACTCATCCCTGCACTGAGCACAGATATGACAAGCAGTAGCCATGGGGGAGGTGGGTGACAAAGATAGGACCCTGGGAGGGGGTGCAGGTACATGGTAGTTTCAATTACCACAGTATTCTAGAGGCGGTCTGCAATGACAAGGACGGCAAATGAAATTAGTGCAAGATTTCTTAGAGAATAATGGGCAGATGGAAAAAATGTAAAAACAACATAAAACAGGGTCTGCTGATAATGTTTTAAAATATACATTTGTCTTCTTTTTGCATTGTGAAAAAATAAATTTTGTGTGATAGTTTTGATGATGAAAGGTAGAAGTTCTACCTATATTTGAATGAGTTTTTTTTTAAGGTAATGAGAATGTCATGGAGCTAAACTTGACAAAGAAGAGATCATTGAAATGCTGAAAATTTTAGCAGTTTTCTTAAAAGTATTGAGGGGCAAAAATTACCAATTATGCCATACAAAAATAAGCCTATAAATGTGTTTCACATTGCTAACTTGTGTTTCAGTTGATTCAGTTTATAATAACTAGTTATGAACTTCTGTTTACAATAAAAATTCTGTAAATTGTTTGCTGTTATTTAATGGTTATATATTAACTGTTTTCTATTTAGTCATGCAAACGTGATGAATTTAAATATGACTTGAGAATGGGACACGGTCAGTGTTTATGTAATCTCTCTGGACTCCTAGAACTCAAAGTTAGAAAGTTGTACATTCCCAGTTTTGAATGCCCTCCCCTCTGTGCATTGCAAAAGGCTTCTCTCCAGTCGTGCTTCCCTGGTGTCCTAGCGGAAAGTGCACACTGTCACCATGGCAGGAGGCCAAAGCCGGAGATGAAAGGATGAGGGCTGGCCACTGGGCAGCCTTGATGGCAGGATGGGTGGAGCCTCAAAGGTTCAGGTCTTAAATCCCTACCTGGCTTGATCCAGATAATCCACCCATTTGAAAACCACTTAGGATACAAAGGTATGTCTTAGAAGCAATATTACTTTCCAGATCTTGTCCTTACCTGAAGGCGCCTCTGTTGCTTTTTTCCTTCAGTTTTCCCACCCTCTTTCTTTTATGTGTAAATGAACTCTTCATTTCCTTTCTATAATACTTTGCTTTTTCTGCTGCCTTCTTCCTGTCTTTCACTAGCTGACACACAAATATACACACCCAGTATTTCTAACTGCTTCCTCATACTTCAGCTTGACTATGTCCCTTTTGAAATTTACATTTTGCCTAATTGTTTCCAGTTTCCTAAGCAACTTTTTCTGGAGTTCACAGTGGTTCCTTACCTAATACGTATAAATTTATAAATAGTATGACTTTTTAACAAATTAACACCTTTCACTTTAAGATATAAGATTGTCCTTGTCTAGCTGTTTTGAACTCAAACCTATCATGTATAAATCTCTTCAGCTTAAAAAGAAACAGGGCAATTTTAATTCATGTCCACTTAAGAAAAAGTATTTTTCAACCATGTCTTTCTCTTCAACACTACAAAGTAATGTACCTGTGAGTGGTGACTATATTTTTTTGTTGCTGATTTTGTTACATTAGCTTGGTGCACAGTTGTATATATAATGATCTCAGCTTTGAATGTAGAAAAAATGTCTTTCTTCCTGGGCAAATCAATTCAATTTCTAGTATTGCATAAGAAGCACACTGTAAAAATAAATCACTCCTCCATGCTGTAGGGCACCTTTGCTGTTCACGGCCATGTGTACCTGAATTTAAATGCTCTTGAAAATATGGGAGGATTGACCTTGTATGAAACAAAAGTTTTAAAGTTATATTGTAAATTTCATTCACTTCACTCCATGCATTCATTTACACAGAAACAGCATAACCCAGTGATATACTGCAGACTATTAAAAATATAAAACAGATAGATAGATAGATAGATACATAGATAGATAGATAGATAGATAATGTTCTCTTTTTTAGGAGTTCAGAACAGATACAAAGCAAAACAATCGCAATGCTGAATGTTACTAATATGTATCCATTCCTTCAGTGTTTACTGAAAGATTTCTGTAAAAATAGACAAATATGGAGGCTAAAGCAGGAAAAATGACCAGGACATAGGATGTGAGGTGAGCCTGGAAGGATACTTAAGACTGTGGCTGGCCGGGTGCCGTGGCTCACGCCTGTAATCCCAGCACCTTGGGAGGCCAAGGTGGGTAGATCACCTGAGGTCCGGAGTTCGAGACCAGCCTGACCAACATGGAGAAACCTCATCTCTACTAAAAATACAAATTAGCCGGGTGTGGTGGCACATGCCTGTAATCCCAGCTACTAGGGAGGCTGAGGCAGGAGAATTGCTTGAACCCGGGAGGCAGAGGTTGTGGTGAGCCGAGATGGTGCCATTGCACTCCAGTCTGGGCAACAAGAGCGAAACTCCATCTCAAGACTATGGCTCAGAGGAAAAGGCATTGAACTTGGAACTGGGAATGAACTGAAAGTGAATTTCAGCATGCGATATGCATAGATCATTCTTTGCACAAGCCACATCTTTTAGTGGCTCCACATGAACTTATCAAGCTAGGTCATAAGTTTACCTAGATAACACAGGCTTTGAATACCAACCTGAGGGATTTGGACTATAGGCGAAATAATATAGGGAAAACATTATTGTAGGAAAATAATCCTTTGGAGTCACCTAGGATGGATCACGAAGAAGAAAAGTCAAGAAGCAGAGGCAAGAAACTCAGTTAAGTCATTTTAGTGTTTCAGACTGCTGCAGTGATGAAAACTAAACTGAGTGCCATTAGAACAGAGGAAGGGATGATTTCTTGGAAACTCATATACTCGTTAATGGATTATTTGTACATAAGTGGATTATGTACAAATCCACAATAATGGATTATTTGTAAATAAGTGGAATTTAGTTTAAAACATCATAAAAATTACCCATTTTTAAAATTACTTTTATGATACATTCAGGAATTGTAACACACTTCTTTTATAAAAACTTTCAATTTCTTCTCAAAAATTTTTGGTACAAAAGATACTCAGTGTTTCTGTATCTTATTACATCTTCATGGTTCAGAGCCAGAACATGTATTTGATAACACATTATGTTGTATATATCTAAATGATTTCATAATGATTTGAAAAGTCACAAAAGCCACACAGCAAAGCTTGTAATTCTTCTAGTTATGAAAAATAAGAGCCTCTTTTGTGAGTTGAACTTTTTAGTCGTAGAGTTATGGAGGGTCATGGTTTAGGGTAACTGATTGTCATTTACGTAATAAACCACATGGTTGATTACGATGTTGTAGATAAGCATAGTAGACTTTGCTCTGTATTAATGGCCAGCAAGGAAACAGGGAAGTCTTTAATCTTGGTAAGGTTTCATTCATCCCAAAGCACACTGCAGAGTGAACAATACTGGAAAAGCAGATGCAGAGGTAAGGCCTAAGTGAATATGTATTTTCTGAAAAATCAGGGGAGTCCTTTCTTTAAAATGTGACATAAATGTAATTTTATACTATGGCTATGTCATTTTGGTAGCTACATTTTCATGCCCCAGTAAGAAATCAAACATTCGCTTAAATTGGCAACCAGGATAACTTTCCTAAATCTTAAATTGAAAATTAAAATTTCTGCTTATTTGCTGTTAGTTTTTTTATATTATTGTGACTAAGTCAATTCATTTTCCTTTTTCCAGGCATTATGAAAAACCTCTGTTTCAGAGTCATTACCATAGTTATAGGTCTTTATTTTACTGGAATAATGACAAATGCAAAAAGAAAAAGTAATATTTTATTCAATTCTGAATGCCAATGGAATGAATATGTTCTGACAAATTGTTCTTTTACCGGAAAGCATGATATACCTGTGGACATACCACAAACAGCAGCCACTGTGGATGTAAGTTTCAGTTTCTTTAGAGTTATCTTACAGTTTCACATGAAAAAAGAAGAGTGGAAAATAAAACATCTGGACCTCAGTAACAATCTCATATCAAAAATAACCTTAAGCCCTTTTGCATACTTACATGCTTTGGAAGTGTTAAACCTGAGCAACAATGCCATCCGCTCCCTCTCCTTGGATCTACTCAGTCCTAAGTCCTCATGGGTGAAACGCCACAGAAGCAGCTTCAGAAATAGGTTTCCATTGCTGAAGGTGCTCATTCTTCAAAGAAATAAACTCAGTGACACTCCCAAGGGTGAGTACAATTTTAACTAGGCAGAGAAACAATGCTTATGTGGAGGTGTTTCATGTTCATAAGAATTCCACATTTGTTTTCAGCTTCAAGGACACAGCCGAAAGTAAAGCAATTTGATCAGAGTATGTATAATAAAGTTTCTTAGTGGCATTGGAAGTTATAGTGTGTGGAATTTACAGCTAATGAAATTTAGTCTCCCATTAGTGTATCTGACATTAATGTTATGTGCAGTTATCGAGACACTAGGAAGTATGTAAGTGCTAAATAATAATGAGTGATTCTAAGTTACCTACTTTGGTTATCATATATTTGTTAATATAGAAAAGCACTGAGCAATAACTAGTTCAAATATATTTAATATGTAATGCAATTCAAATTAAATGTCATATTCATAATATTTTTCTTCTTTGAGTACATTTTGCCTCAGTCTATCTAGTTGTCCTCCAAAAGTACAGCAGAAGTATCCTAATATTATATATTGGTATGTAAATCTTCTGGTTATCAAGTCAAAATCAGAATTCCTTATCCTAGTTTCTAACAGGGTACTCCAAATAGCCTCCTATTATCATAAATTCTCATCTGACATTCAATAGTCTCCATGTTGGAGATCCTTAACAGTAAACACCAATGTTTTCTTTAGAAAATATATCAAGTTAATAAAGCAAAACTTCCTTTGCCTTTTTTATATTCCAGAGTGCTAGACAATTAACGTCCTTTCCTTGTTTGTTTCCAGGCTCATTCACTCTTTGCTAAGCACCTACTTTATATAAGACATTATACAAAAAAATGTATAAGGATATTGTTCTCTTTCTCCATTCCAAGTTGCGCATATTTGGTTTTTCTTATTATCCAGTTCTGACATTTCATGTTTTTATTTTCATGCTCTTTCTCCAGCTTTGTTTTAAGCATCATTTTGGCAATAATAGCCTAGCAGGTATAGGAATTATTACAGTCACCATGTCAGCAGAATTGTTTGAGAAGGGTTGGAGTCTTCTGTCCCTGACCTTCTCCATAAAAGTAGTGTGTCATATTTTCAGTGTAAATGAAATGCACTTTATTTTATGATTTTTATTGTATTGTTTTTATTACAAGAAGAATACCTGTTACTTATAGAACATTTAACAACTGAAGAAAAATTTAAAGGGAAAAATTAAAGTCACTCATGTTATATATATTCTTCTAGTTTATTATTTATGCCTATTTGTACCTTTTTCTTTTAAAATTGGATCATACTGTCCATATTATTTGTATTTTCATATCGTAGAATATTTTAATATCTTTATATAATTAAGCCACCTCACAAATATTTCAAATAGTTGAATAGTTTTTATATATGCATATATCATAACTGGTTTAATCAAGCACTAGGTTATTTCCAGGTTTTGTTTTTTGATGGACATCATTATAGCTACATATAGACATGTAATATAACAAAAATTTTTAACTGGTACGGTAGATGTGAATCTCAATCCACAAACTTAAGTGTACTAGAGATATAACCTTCTATTGTCTGTAGTAACATAATTTCTGATTCGAGCCCCCATTAGGGGGAGTCGTAGGGATACTTAACATCAGTCTTTCATCAGCTTTCCTCTGCCTTTGCCCAGATTTGTACCCAGCTCAAGAGTCGTATACTCGTAACAAGTCATCAGGGTGTGAATGTTCCTTACCCCTGCTAGCCAGAGAATATTTCTTTTCAGTCTCTTCAGTTTGGAGAAAATTTCTTCTCCGTTTTTTTTTTCTTCAAAACCCTCTGTCTGGCAAACACTTTCTTCTAAAGGTTTAGGGTTTTGGATAACGAAAGCCAGAAAGACTTGTAGACTCAGCTACTTTCTGCCTTGCCATGTCCCTTCCCTGGGACAATGAACGTGGAGCCTAGTCTCTGTGTGAATGGAGAGAAAGAGCAAGAGGAAAATATAGGAAGGTAAGAAATTAACAGGTCAAAATATGATCCCACTACAAGAATAAATAGGGAAGTGCTGAGTTTCTCTCCTTAAGGCAAATGAATTCCCCTGAGCTAACTGGGGATTAGGACTAATACAGTTCCACTTAAAGACCAAATATCCCTATAAATGCAGATACAGATCCATCTTTTTTTGAGTTAAGCTATTGCCTCCCAAAAGATCAAGAAAAATGTTCAACTTGAAGAGGAGGGGGAAAAAAGAAGTGAAGTGAGCAAATTCTATATCTGAAATTCTATTAAAATTCTAGCAAATGAAGTCATAGAGAGATGAATGAAAAGATATAAATGTTGGAAGTTCAGTGTAAGGCATGAGTCTGATTGGATATAATTCAGAGTCCTTTTATCTATAGTATTTTGTTATTTAAATTATTTTCCCATAATCATCATATTAGTTTTCACTAGGTTGAGTCTCCTCTAACAACTTTTCCTATTTTATGATTCTGTGACTATGTCTGGGTTGCTCTGCCTTTGAAATCTCATTTTGAAGGGAACTGCTGGTAAGAGAGAGATGCTGCCTAGGGCATACCCTATTTTTGGCCTATTTCTTTGTTCTTTAATTCTTCACTCTAAGTCTATTTATAGGTGACATCTGGATAAGATAAGATTTACTCATTGGATCATTGTGAGGATTAAATGAAAAAATGTATCTCAAAGACCTAACTTAACATGGTATTTGGCATAATAAACTGTCATAATTTAAATATGTGAAAAGTACTTCAGAATCTTGTCTGAAGATTTATCTTGGAAATACTAGTTTTTATTATTCTCTTGTCATAAATTGAGAATAACAGTATATTTAGAAACAAATAATTAATTTTTGTCTAAATCTCAAGTTTGTTTTTGTTTTTTGAGATGCAGTTTCACTCTTGTTGCCCATGCTGGAGAGCAATGGCATGATCTCGGCTCCCTGCAACCTCCACCTCCCGGGTTCAAGCGATTCTTTTGCCTCAGCCTCTCAAGTACCTGGGATTACAGGCATGTGCCACCACACGTGGCTAATTTTGTATTTTTAGGAGAGAGGGGCTCTTCCATGTTGGTCAGGCTGGTCTCAAACTCCTGATCTCAGGTGATCCGCAGGCCTCAGCGTACCAAAGTGCTGGGATTAGAGGTATGAGCCACCGTGCCCGGCGTCAAGTTATTTTTTTAAATGTTAAACAATTATTGCAGTAGTAGCCCACTATAATTCATGAGCAGATAATTATTTGTGTCTGACTATATAGGCACTTGCATTCATCTAAAATAATAATAATAAATTAGGGACATCTCAGAAAGCAACAGTCAAGCAACCTTCATAACTATGTACCACATATTTTAAAATGGGGACTGTTTCTAGAACCAATGAAAAGTTTCTTTCACTCAGGAAAGCCCACTTTTGTAAGGGCGAGATATCACATGAACTAACCCTGTCTTCAGAGTCAGTTGTGGTGTCATCAATAAGCTTCATGTTGGGAAAACGCCCAGAAGAGGTGCTGGCCAATGCAATTTATAAAACAGAAGCCAACCATGAATTTAATCTTAATAATGCTTCCACCTTCCTCCCATGTTTTTGGAGTATAGCATCAATAATTGAAAAACTAGTTTTAAAACATGAAAACAATGGGATCAGTCTCTGGTTAATCTGTCTTACCTCCATCAAGCAGTATTTTTGGAGTGCTCACAGAGTAACTGGAAATGTAGCAGGAACAACATCTTGTTGGGATTCCAGTTAGGTTGATAGACCAAATGTAGCAGCCTCACATTAACCAACTAAGTTCCAGAACCCAAGAGATAAATGTGTTAGAAATAAGATGAAATAGTACCTAACATTTGAAACTGGTGGAATTAAAAAAAAAAAAAAACACAATGTATTATTAAAAAGTAAAGTATATTGTGTTCCTTTATTCATAGAAAATTAAAGATTTCATCCTGGTTGCTACTGGATTATGGAATTATCAATAAGCAATGTACTGACAACTAATTCAGGTTCTAAAGAAACAAAAAGTATGTAAGACACTAAACTAAGAAGGCAAGGCCTTTGGCTCACCTACATAATTTGACCACAGTAAGATCTGACCTAATGAATCAAATATCTTACCCAGGACCATTCTAGACTCTATTCCAATTCTTACTGCTCTTTGGACTAAAAGCCACAATCCCTGAATATTGTTGTTTTATGTTATCAGGTTATCACACTTGGGAGAGCACTTAAGAAGTTCATAGTACAGAGGGTGTATTTACTAAGTGTAATGTCCGAGTATCCTTTCTGTGGCCTTTTTTTTCTGATAGATCATTTCTTGGAAATAATAAAACTGCCTCTGGCCACTTAAATGCAAAGGCTAATAAAATTCCTGCCTACTGTGGCCTTTGTAATCTTTAGAAGGCAGTTCAATAAATAATTCCCTTTCCACAAAGTACCTCTATATTTTCCTCCCGGCATTCAACTCTCCTCTCTTGAAACATAAAATCTACCCCTGATGTTCAAGCCGCAGCCATGAATGCACCATACAGCCTCTTTCACTCATTTGACTACCCTCTGAACATTGGCTCACCAAGCAAAAATATTAAAAGAACACATTTTCCCATTGAGAAGTGCAATCAAGTACCATGAAAGAGTTTTCTTAAATTTTCCAACTCCATCTTGAGAGACCCTAAACAAATCAGGTTATCTGAAGGACCAAACCAGTTCCCTTAAAAAAAAAAAAATCTTAATTATCTAAAATTGAAAGTAAAGGAAAAGTTTTCATCCAGGAGGAGTAACTGAACTTCCTGGTCTTTATTCTCATCTCCAGAAGAAATGTACCTTCCTCTTGGAAAATCTCGGCTTGATATTATGAGGGGAGTTAAATAAGAGGATTCTCTAATAACTGCATTCAAAATCAAAATCACCCTCTCCCCATATGCTTGGGTATATTCAGTTCCCATTCTTTTTAATTATTAATTTTTTTTTTTCTTTTTTTAGATGGAGTCTCACTCTTGTCACCCAGGCTGGAGTGCAATGGCATGGTTGCAGCTCACTACAACTTCCGCCTCCTGGGTTCAAGAGATTCTCCTGCCTTAG